CCTCGAACTTCATCTCACCCGTATGCCAGGCCATTCCTTTTGTTTTTAAATTACTATTTTATTACTGAATTTATTGGGGTGACATTGGTTAATGAAATCATACAGGTTTCAGGTGTCTGATTCTGTAACACCATCTGTATATTGTGATGTGTCCACCACCCCAAGTCTCTCTCCATCACCATCTCTACCCCCATGGCCTCTCCTCCCACCCCCTCCACGCCAGGTCATTCCTAAGGCTCCGTGGAGTGTCCTTCCTCCAGGAGCTGTCCCCATCCTCCCTCAGTACCCCGACACTCCCCAGCCGCCCGTGCGCTGCTCCGCAGGGCCAGACGGGCAGCACCAGCTGCTCAGCGGTGAGTTGAGTGAATGGACGAGTGAGTCAGTGTGTGGGCCACCCGCTGTCCCTGCCTGAAACGCACCCACAGGGGCCTGGCACACGTCCCAGCTTGGCCCCCTGACCCTGGACAAGGCCCTCCCTGTCCCACTAGCCAGCCAGGACTCTGGGAGCCAAGGGCACTGACCTGGGCCTGGCATTGGGGTGGCCCCTGCTCCTGTGGATGTGGGGTCAGAGCCAGGGCTAGGACCCGGCACCCGGTGGGGCAGTCCCAGTGTGGGAAGTGCTCGGATGGAGACGTGCAGAGATGGGAAGCAGCGACACTGGTCATGGGGGTGGACCTGGACCCTGGCTTCAGGGCCAGCTCTGTGGGTGGGGGGTGGGGAGGATGGGTGAAGGCAGCACCCTTCCCTTCCCACAGCACCCACCTGTGCATGCCAGGGCAAGGCGGCTATGAGCAGAGCCCAGGGCACTTCAGGAGGTGACTGGGGGCATCGCCCACTCCGACAGGCAGGGGCCAGGGCTGGGCTGGGGGGTGGGCTTCCCCTGTCGGGCTCAGGAGGAGTTTCAGGGTAGCAGCCCGGTTTGGGGACAGGCTATGGGAGCCCCTTCTCAAGCCCCGGCTCTCCCTCTGAGCCAGGCCCCAGCCCTGTCCACACAGCCCTGCACCCACAGCCCTGTCAGAGAGACAACAATGACCTTCCAGCGTGCACGTGTCTCATGTGATATTTCACGTGCTGACTTGCTGGTCTGGCAGCCCCACGTGTCAGCCATGGGGCTGAGCCTGCACAGTCCGGGGCCGGTCAGACACTGGAGGGGCAGCTCCCAGGCACCCCCAGGGCAAGGGCACAGGAAGGTCATGCCAATGGCTGACCTCAGTCCAGCTCAGGCCCCCTGAGCTTGGCCGGCTCAGAGGCCCTGAGACCCTGCTCAGCCCTCACCACCGAGGCCACAGCCCAAGGAAGGTCACCTGGACTCAGGCTCCACCGCGGTGACCCCTGTGGCCAGAGGCACAGACTGTCCCCTCACGACCTGACCCTCCTCATTCTGGAGTCAGGATGGGAAAAATCCTTCCGGGCCCAGGACAGCAGCAAGGATTCCCAGGTGCTCACTCTGCCGGGAGCCCAGAGCATCCCTGACCTCCCGCTAATGACCCGCCAGGTGCACACGCACCAGCCTCCAGCTCAGGGGGGTGGGACCGTGAGGGGCCTGGTCACTGCCAGCTGGACTCAGCGGGGTCAGTGCAGCCCGAGCCCACGCATGACCACAGCTCACGGTGCCAACCCTGCAGGGCTGGGAGCCACAGGTGCCCTGGCCACCCACTGCCGCCGCCCTGGGCTGGGATGAGGCTGAGGTACGGCAAGGACTGGAGCCCCGTCCCCGCCCGGGTGGGATGCAGAAAGGGGCTCATTCCAGCCTCGGTTTTTCTACTTCAGCAAATGGCCAGGGCACTGGGGACCTATTTCCTCCCAGGCCCTCCTGATTGGCTGCCTCGCTTGACTCGAATCACTTGGCCTCTTCGGCCTACATCCCAAGATGCGAAACAAGAGGCTGAGGGGCCGGCCGGCGTGGCTCAGTGGTGAGCGTCGACCTATGACCCAGGAGGTCAGGGTTCAATTCCGCATCAGAGCACAGGCCCGGGGTTGCGGGCTTGACTCCCCAGTGAGGGGTGTGCAGGAGGCAGCCGATCAATGATTCTCTTTCATCATTGGTGTTTCTATCTCTCCCTCGCCCTTCTTCTCTGAAATCAATAAAAATGTATATATATATATATATTTAAAAGCGATGGATTTAGCCCTAGATGGTTTTGCTTAGTGGATAGAGCATTGGACTTCGCACCAAAGGGTCCCGGGTTCAATTCCAGTCAGGGGCACGTATCTTGGTTGCAGGCTCCTCCCTGGCCTGGGCCCCGGTGTGCAACCAATTGATGTGTCTCTTTCACATTGATGTTTCTCTCTCTCTGTCTCTCCCTCTCCCTTCCACTCTCTCTAAAAAAATCAATAGAAAAATATACTCGGGTGAGGCTTAACAACAACAACAACAAAATAACAGCTGGTGGGTGACCTAGTTGATGAATCAACACCTACAATTTGGGTCTCATTTTGCCTTGCCCCATTATTTTTAAAAGGTTCTGAAAAAATAGGCTTTTCTAACTTATAAGCAGTTGGAATTAAACCCATTAGCTTTACCCAAAATGAGCACCTGGCAGAAGTATCGAGAAGACTCAGAGTGCACAGAGGAAAGGCACAGGTGCTCCGGAAGTTCCCAGAGCTGTTGGGACACTGAGGCTGGGGCCTCCGTCAGCGCTGCCCTGCCCTCTCCTCCAGCTGCAGGACCGAGCCCTGGTCACCTTCCTGGTCAGTGATATGGCCGCCAAGAAACATGAGCGGTGGGTGCTGCTTCGCAGAAGGCCCTCCACCCTGGCGCTCTGGAGCTGGTCCTTCCCCAGTGCACACACGAGCTCCCTTTACCAGGCTTTAGAAACAAGCCGGCGGGCACTCTGGC